CTGAGTCCATCTTGCACACTTAAAAATTTACCATTCGTCCGTGCATTGAATAATAATGACATATCTAGTCTGATGCTCCAGCTATTCATCTTGAGATTCTTGGTAAAATCCAAAAAAGAATCTGCAGTATATTCGATCCTGACGTTGCATCTCGACTTCAGTCTTTTTTTCTCATCGACGTGACGTGGTTTCCCTCTGTCTTTTCTACAAATATTTTCATGGAAATTGCTCTGATGAGCTTTTTTTTTTCTTCTCTAGTGCCTGGACTACGTGTGTTTAAGTATGCTAGTAGACTGGCATCTTGGTCCCACACTTTTACTGTTCAATTAGTTAAATTGAAACGCCACTTCTACTCCAAAAGTTTCTTTTCTCGCGCTTCTCGCCTGTGGAACTCCCTTCCGTTTCCTTGCTTTTTGATAACTACAAGCTTCAAAAATTCAAATGCAACGTCAATCGCCATCTTCTATCTTTTTGAACCGCGTCGTTCAGCTTTTATCCTTTCACCGGTTCCCCTTACTTGTTCTTTCCTCCCACTTTCACTCTTTGTAACCCCCTGCGTACTAGTGACATTCGCGCCTTGCTTGGGGTGAAATGACTAATATATATATATATATATATATATATATATATATATATATATACTCTGGTGTGTTCATATTTATCTATGTTCAAATCTATCTATCTATCTATCTATCTATCTATCTATCTATCTATCTATCTCTCAGTTCGTTCATATCTATCTCTCTATTTATCTATTTCTTTATCTATCTATGTATCTATCTATCACTTAGCTTTTCTTTATTTCATCTCAGTGCCTTCATGTATAATACGCTGCACAATCTTTAGTCCGTGTACTATGGAACGCTACACCAGGCCATATTTGAGAACGGATAAATTCCACCATCTATCTTTTCATATTTTATCTTGCTTCCTAAAATAAAATCCCAAGTTAAAACTTTGTCTGATTTTCCTCCCTTTCGCCATTATCATAGGAACGCTTATATTTCTTTTTCCAAACATTTTCAGGTATTTTCATCTGGTGATATGTCTTTTGTTGACAACCCACTTTATATAGATCGACCGAATGCCAAAACAGAGCAATTATTCACGGCCCGTGCCTGCTATATACATAAAATAGAATACAGTTCTTTTCGACCATTTATATATATATATATATATATATATATATATATATATATATATATATATATATATATATGTCTGCGTAATGAACTATATTCTGGCATATATAAATTGCATAATGTTTCTGTTTTCGTTTCGCAAAATATATATAACACAAAAAAGGAGATTATGCCAAATAGATGTATATGCTCTATATATGTAAATATATATATATATATATATATATATATATATATATATATATATATATATATATATATATATATATATATATATATATATCTATGTCTAAAAGTGTGTGTATGCGTGTGTATACGTGTGTGTGCTATGTATTAAGCAAGTTTGCGTCACCATGAGTGCAATTTCGTATATCTGGTTTTGCCAAGAAATTTCTTTTGAAGTAACTAAATAGCAGACACACCTATCTCCGGGTTTTAAAACTGAACGACTTCCGAGATCATGCGAATTACTTAGGGATCATCAGTTCTACATACCGAGCCACACGATCTCATAAAATGTTGGATTCGTTGCGTTGCGTTTTCATCAAGTTTCAGAATGAGACACTGGAGTTTTTTTTTTGTTTTTATTCTTCTTTTATTTCTGGTAATTTGCTCGGTTTGTGGAGGAATTCTGTCAATGCCCATTTTTGTTCTGAGTATTGTTCGCTTTATGCAGAACCTTCGTTATCTTTACAGAACGTCTTTTGGGGGGGGGAGGTTTATTTTTTTGAATCAGCTAACCAACTTGCCCGTCCGATGAGCAGGGAAATGTTGTCATGGAAGTATGTCTCTTACCTATTTAAAATTCTCTTTATGAACATAATTTTCAACAAGAAATCTCTCATCTTTTTTGTTTAATCAGTATCACCCCAGGGAAGGTAGAAAAGCCACTAAGACACAAGGGGTTAATGGGTGTAGAAGAATTAGTAACAGAAACATTGATGAGCAGGGAGATAAAAGAGTAATCAGGAGGACACTAGATAGTGATTGACATTGCATTTAAATTTTTGCAGATTAAAGTTGGCTGGAAAGCATAGAGCTGGAATGGAATTCCACAAGCGAGAAGTGCGAGAAATGAAACTGTTGGCATAGAATTTGAGGTTACATCTAAAGTTCATTTTGTGCTTATGCTAATTCCACTTGAGTTGACCATAAGCGGAAAGTTTGATTAATTTTCTCTTACCTTTCTAAAATTTTGCTCAAATCTATGTAGCCATTTTCTGGACACTGGCACATAGAGCTGTCCCCTTGGGGCCGAATCTATGTAACCATTTTCTGGACACTGGCACATAGAGCTGTCCCCTTAGGGCCGGATCTATGTAACCATTTTCTGGGCATAGCCACATAAAGTTGACCTCTTCTGATCAGATCTATGTAGTCATTTTCTGGACATAGCCACAGAGAGCAACCCTATTCTAATCAGAAATATAGCCATTTTTTGGACATAACGACAAAGAATTGACCTCTTCTGGTTAGATTTATGTAGGTATTTTCTGGACATATCAACATAGCGGTGAACTCTTCTAGTCATATCTACGTAGGCATTTTCTGGATATAGCCATATAGAGCTAACCTCTTCTGATCAGATCTATGTAGCCACATTTTGGACATAACAGCATAGAGCTGACCTCTTCTGGTCAGATCTATGTAACCATTTTCTTGACAATACAACATAACGCTGACCTCTTCTGGTCAGATCTATGTAGCCATTTTCTGGACATAGGTACAAAGAGCTAACCTCTTCTCGTCAGATCTATGTAGGCATTTTTTGGACATAACAACATAGAGTTGACCTCTTTTGATCAAATCTATGTAGCTATTTTTGGGACATAACGACAGAGAACTGACCTCTTCTAGTCATATCTATGTAGACATTTTTGGATATAGCCATATAGAGATGACCTCTTCTCGTCAGATCTATGTAACCATTTTTTGGACATATCAACAGAGAGCTGACCTCTTCTGGTCTTATAATAATAATAACAATCATAAAATTAATTCAGCAAAATTACTACTTTTTACTTATTTTATTAATTTCGCACAGTTTTAAGAAATGTAATTAGACAGATTGCCTTGACTTATTTACATTATTGAATACAATTATTTTCCACTCTATTGGTCTAATTTGTAGTAATGTGAAATAGCAGACAATAACAATGCTTATTACGAACGCTGTAGGTTTTCTAGCTTACGATTGAATTTCATACAAACTCGATGATTTTAGAAAACTTATCCACAGATAAAAGAGAAACATGAGAGAACGAGAAAAATAGAAGAGTAATTGTGACAGTAGATAACGGTATGGGGGTGGGTTGTAATAGGTAACGGCTCGGCATAAAAAATCGGAGAGCCGAGTTCGAATTTCAGTCGGTTTCGTTACATTTACTTAGGGAATGCTAGGAATCCGTCTCTTCGACCATCTACCATCATATCTATGTTGAATAGTTGGCAGCCAGTCAGAAAGAATTGTTAATCTACTGCGGAAAAATCTTCTGATTAGTCCAAGAAACATGATCGCCCAAGCATGTATCACGCATGGCACTTATCTGACTGGGATAGCGATTAACATTGCATCTAAACGTTTGAAAATTAGAATTGGTTGGATGATGAGACCTTACCGCCAAACTAGTACTGCGCTTAAATTCATAATGCCTTACGACAGAATTTCATACAAATTTCATTGAATTTACAAAACATTATCCACACATTGAATACCTACCATATATATTATATTAAAGTCCTCCCCTCTCAAGTGAGGGAATCTATTTCTCCAATGAGTTTAAAATAAGCGCATCTCTCTAATTACAGCCCCCGGGGAGACTAAACGAATTAATATGAACAGACGATAGGTAGATACATACATACATGCGTACATTTAAAAAGAATTTTGATATGAAAAGGCGATAGCTAGATATATAGATAGTTATGGATTGGCTGAGCTGAAATAGGTGGATATGAACTGGCGATAGTGTTAAGTATTTATTTGCGGTTGTAATTAAATACTGTTTTATCTTAATATTGAAGTAAAAGTCAACCAAAGATAATTAACCATTTCAGTGAATACCTTGTTAGTAACGCGGCTCGGCTTAACGTCCGGTAAATCCTAAATCAAAACCCAAATGATTGACGCACAATAATTCACACTAATTCGACTGGATAGTTCCACAATCAATGATCACCGCAGTCAGTAGCCTGACACCGCTATTTATACACTTGTCGGAAAACATATATTCATAAGTCTAGAGTATCACGCTCGAACCTCACTGTCGGTAGTTATTCATTTTCTTCCTATATGATAGATAAATAGATAGATAGTTACATACATACATACATATAAAAAGAAGATAGATATGAAAAGGCGATAGATAGATATGTAGATAGATATGAACTGGTTGAGGCAGATAGATATGAACAAACGATAGATAGATAGATAGATAGATAGATAGATAGATAGATAGATAGATAAATAGATAGATATGAACAGAATTAAATAGAAATAAAGAAAGAAAGAGAATGGAATAGATAGATATGAACAGATGATAGAAAGAAACAGAATTAGATAAAAACAAAATTAGATAGATAGATAAAACAAAAATTAAACAAAATTAGATAGATAGATAGATAGATAGATAGATCTGCAGTATAATCGATCCTGACTTTGCATCTCGACTTCAGTCTTTTTTCTCACCGACGTGATGTGGCTTCCCTCTGTCTTTTCTACAAATATTTTCATGGCAGATGTTCTGATGAGCTTTTTTTCTCTGGTGCCCGGACTACGTGCGTTTACGTGTGCTACTAGACTGGCATCTTGGTCCCACACTTTTACTGTTGAATCAGTTAAATGGAAACTAAATGGGATTAGTTAGATAGAAACAGACTTAGATAGATAGATAGATAGATAGATAGAAACAGAATTAGATATATAGATAGAAACTGAATTAGACAGAAAGAAAGGAAGAAACAGGATGAGATAGATAGATAGATAGATAGATAGATAGATAGATAGATAGATAGATAGATAGATAGATAGAAAGAAAGAAACAGAATTAGAAAGAAAGAAAGAGTATTATATAGATAGATAGATAGATAGATAGAAAGAGCCAACCAACCAACCGTTTTTGCCTTCCATCAGCATGGAAGAATTTTCATTAATATGAAGTTGAACAATAATATTGTATAAATTGCAAGTTCTGTCGCTAGGAAAAAAGAGAAACATTAGGGATTCCAGAAGAACAGAAGATTAATCATGACAGTAGATAGAAGAATGCAGTATGGTGCAATGTGTTATCCATTTTTGCCATGAGAAATCGGAGAGCCGAGTTCGAATTCCAGTCGGGTTCGTTATATTCACTTGCGCACAAATATCCTTGAATCCGCCTTCCTACCCTCAGCTATGTGTTAAATAGATGGAAACACTGGATTCCATAGCCTTGGTTGGCAACCAGTCTATTGCAGAAAGAAATGGCAACCTACTGCGGAAAAATCTTTTTCTTTTCATATTAAGATAAATCAAGCACTCTAGATCACATTTATCAAAAGAAAAAAAGAAACTGAAATCGGCTAAACCAGTTTGCTATGAAAACACATTGTAAATTGACCCCCTTACAGAATCCAATCTACCTGTGTTGTTGCATAGAACCCACCTGTTAATCCCATTTTAGGGGTGAAAGTTCACTGTGTTCTCCCTCTTCAAGTGTTGGCCTTTCACTACACGATTTGCCTTCCACATAGCTTTCAGCTTCTTGAAACTTTTTCACCCATTTTTCACACTCGCCAATTGTCGCCTTACCATAGACATTTCTGGGAGTTCTGTGAATGCCAATGGCAGTACGTCCTTCTTTGATCGATGGCTGTTCTTGGTTTCTGTCTCATATCCAAAGTTATGCAACACCTGAATAAAGACCAAAACGATGCCAGCCATGCAGTAAAAATGGCTCCACCTGCTCGACTGAAAAGCGTAACAATTTGATTAATAGCTTTGGAGAAATTGGTTTGAAGGGCCTTACTTTCAGAATAGACCATCAGAAATAAATAGATAGATAGATAGATAGATAGATAGATAGATAGATAGATAGATAGATAGATAGATTTGAACTGACTTACATAGAGAGATAGGTTGGTAAGTAGGTAGGGAAATGAATATCTACCTAGCCAAATAGATAGATTTGGAAATAGATAGATTTTAGAAATAGATAGATTTGGACTGACTGACATACATAGGTGGGCAGGTTGGTAGATAGATAGATAGATAGATAGATAGATAGATAGATAGATAGATAGATAGATATTAACCGACCGAGATAGATTTGAACTGACTGACATAGATAGATAGATAGATAGATAGATAGATAGATAGATAGATAGATAGATATGAACCGAGATAAATTTGAACTGACTGACATAGAGAGATATGAATCGACTGAGATAGATTTGAACTGACATAGATAGATAGTTAGGAAAGAAATAGAATTAGATAGATAGATAGATAGATAGATAGATAGATAGATAGATAGATATGTACTAACATGAACGGTCGTGTTTGTTCAATGTTCAAAGAAAGCGATGTCATATTTTAAAAGGGAAGTCTTTATTTTGATTATCCATTTATTCTTATGTTTTGCTTTGTTTATTATATATTATAATTGTGTTATATTATTATGCATTTATAATATTTAATTATTAAAGGACATGTTTGTTTTCTTTTAAACGTAAGTCGATCTCTGCATGTGTTTTTTGTTTATTTTTAAAGTAAGTGTTTTAACCAGTTTACTTAATTAAGAATGTCTTATTACTAGGAATTGTTATATTAGGAACATTTATTGCATTGTATTTTTTTTTAAATTACTTATAAAATGGCGTGAATAATTCTATAGCGTAAATTTTCTCTTTAAATGTTTCGTAATTTTTTTTTATTAAAGAGCGTGTAATTTTCGAAATTGTAAGAAATGCATTTCGTGTCGTAATGTTTGTTTTATGCATCATTGACAATTGGTTCTGTATCGCCGATGTCTCTCCCAATCATTTACCATTCAAACATTTTTAACAACATTTGCCAAGACATTAGGTTTATAAGTTTCACAAATACATACACAGATGTCCTCAAGGACACATGTCCCAGTGGATAAAGACGTTGCTTGGTGGCTAGAACCAAAGAGTTGTGAGTTCAATACCAGGCTGCAGTAGTGGTGAGCAAAAAAATAATAATAATAATAATAATAAATTTGGAGAGTTGAGTTAAAGGGAAATAAGAGAGACATCCGGAAGAGTCGTAGCAGGTGGAAATAGAACAATTTACCCAGGTTTGGTTCGAAATTCCAATCACCTGAAAAGGCCGGAGCGTACAACGGCCGAAATGTTGTGAATATGGCAATGAAGATGCGGTTAACAGTCCGAATGATGTAAATAATCATAATACCACATCTCAGGGATACAGACAGATATTTGCCAATAACTATAATCTTTTATCCTTTTTTTTATTACTGTATATTGTAGTAACGTAACATTTTTATGGACGATGACCTATTTTCAAATTTGTAGGAAAGTGTTTGATTCGTAACGTCATATTTTTTTACTATTGGTTCATGTTGAAGCTTAAATAAGCATGGAATAATACAACACAAAATGTACGTTAACAAAATGTATTGAAACAAAGAATAGGTACACAATATTTACAGTTAGTTTGGTATATTCTTGGGAAGACTGTTCCTGCATAATGGGTTGACTAAATCGCAGTCGGGCAGAGACTCTGGATTCAATTTCTTAATCTCTACTATCTTCCCCGTCTTCCGGTACCAACCCATATTTATATGGTCGGTAGTCCGCTTATGTAAATTAGGTGTATCATACACAACAGTTCAGTAGTGATTTTCTTCCTTTGTTTAGCAAAAACAATAATAAAAAATCTTCTCATATATTTAATGATAATTCTATCATTTTCTTAATTATTGATTCGTTTCTATTACTGTCATCTAATTTAATGTTATATGTTATTTATATCGAAATATTTAAGTAAATGCTCTGTTTATAATAAACAGTATTAACAACAGTTCCTGGCCAGGATGTCCGAGTAATTCCATGGAAAATATGCGTCCTCCGACAAGAATCGAACCTGTATCCTGCACGTAATCGTCATATAGTCTGACATGCTATATCAGTTTAGCTACGAGGGAAGCATCTGTTTAGCATGGTCGATTTACTGCTTTTAAACTACAAATTTCCCATGATTTCCATTGAACGCTCATATCTACTCGAAGCGTATCTTAACGTAAACAAATAGCGTTATATATTATGAAATTATTTTAATATACTTATATAGACACAAATATTTAAATAAATGCTCTGTTTATAATAAACAGCATTAACAACATTTACCGGCCTGAATTTTAAAATAATTGTCGGGCTTAGTCCATTTTATATATATGATGTCATTTGTTTATGTTAAGATACACTTTTAGCAGATGTGAACGTTCGAGGAACATCATGGGAAATATATAGTTTAAAGGCAGTAAATCGACATGGCTAAGCAGTTGCTTCATCTGTAGCTAAATTGTATAGCACGTCAGATTATATAACGGATACAGGTTCGATTCCTACTCGGAGGACACATATTTTTTATGGGAATTCAGGTCGTAAATGTTGTTAATACTGTTTATTATAAACAAAGCATTTACTTAAATATTTGTGTCGATATAAATAATGTGTAACAATAAAATATATTAAAATAATTGCCGGACTTTGTCCATTTCGTAATATATGACTGTCATATAATACGTCACACACACACGCACACATACACACACACACACACACACACACACACATATATATATATATATTTAAATTGTTTCGTATGTAACAATTGAGGGGCAGTGTGCAAAATAACGATGACCCACCCGGCCAAATTCAAGTTAGAGTTTGTTTTTTAAAGAAAAAAGATCTTTAGTTAAATAAAATTTATGAAAGACATGAGTTACGGGCAATATTAGTTGTGTCAAAATTATTTGTTTTACGAATTTAACTG